GTAAAATACTAAGTCGGTACAGCTCAGATTTTAGTTATCACCAATCAGAAATCAATATATCTTTATTCAAATTGGATGTATACACAACTCTTTTGAATCATCCAAAAAAATTTTTTCCCTACCACTCGTTATGGACATATTTTTTAGCTGCGGAGAAAAACGAGCGAAAAAACTCCACAACATGAAAAGTCCAATGTAACAACATTTAAAATCATTATGTTGTTACAACGTGAATACAATTATGATATATTTAATACTAGCGGCCCGCTCTCGCTTCGTTTCGGTGTAGAGCTGAAGTGTAGACTACAGTTTTTGTTCTCAGGCTTGTATTATACACAATGACATTCATCTATGATTCTTCTTATACCTGCATGCAAAGTCTCAGCCCGATCGGTTTAAAATTGACAAAGTTTCATACAAACTTTCATTCCCTATTTTATCCCCTTGGGGGTAGAATTGATCAAAATCCTTTCTTAGCGGATGCCTACGTCATAACATCTACCTGCATGCCAAATTTCAGCCCAATCTGTCCAGTGGTTTGGGCTGTGCGTTGATAGATCACTTTGTCAGTCAGTCACCTTTGAGTTTTATATATACAGATTATTTATATTTTGTCGCGTGTGACTCTCGTAGCATTTCAGCCTTCGCGAGTTACCCTCCATCTTTCATTCTCGTCGAGAAGAGCTGCGCACGCATCCCACACACACACACACATATACCTATTTATATAGTCGTGTGACGCTCGTGCGTGACGCATTTCCGTTTCATCTTTTCCATGTCATTTTTTCATTTTTCAATGTCCACATTTGACACTTAATTCAATAAAAAAACACACGTCGGCCCTCAAGTTTTTTTTTTTTTTAGTTTTCTTTTGTTCTTTGTTTTTTAGTTTTTTGAAAGTTCAAAAACTCATTGCAGTCACAGAGACCCCTTAGAAGTGGATTTAAAAGTGTTTCTAGTGATGATGAAATAGATGGGAAATAACCCATATATTCCCATCCTTTGCTCATTCAGACGACGATGACGACATGACGACCTTCGTGGCCGAGTGGTTTGTACGCCGGGTTTCATGGTGTCGCCGACCCGAAAGGTCCCGGGTTCGAGTCCCGGTGGGGGCAGATGTTTGTGTGATGAATACGAGCATTTGTACTCCAGTCATGGATGTTTAATATGTATTTCTATATAAATATACTTATTTAAGTACTGTATATGTATTCTATCCGTTACCCTAGCATCCCATAACACAAGCCTTTATAGTGCTTACTTTTGGCTAATGGGTGTGTGTGTTGGAAATATTTATTTTATTATTATTATTTATTCAAGTTATATAACACAAAGAAATATTAAATATTCTTGATCAATGTAACACATTAAGAATGTAATTATAATAATTGTATTGGTATCGATTTGGTAACGACATATTTTTAATGTCGCTATCTTTCGCCTGTTCTTCTTGTCAGCTAAAAGATGGCCTGCACAGCTGACAGCAAAAATATATATAAGGACATATAAGTTATTTACGGGGTTATTACCATGTACCTTGTTTTTAGCGAGTTTCCGATATTTCGGCACTGTTCCAAGCGCCACGATCACGGAGTAACCGAAGTTTCGAGTAAACAGTGGTACGGGTATCAAACGCAATAAAAGACTTCGTCTGTGGGTAGACCGATATGTCTGCCAATAACAGCCTACCCGCAATTATGTCAGTTACTCTGTGATCATGGCGTTTGCAAGTGCCGAAATATCGGAAACTCGCGAAAAACAAGGTATATGGTAATAATAAAATTATGTTAGTGACCATGAAAGTTTAAAATAATATCTTATATATAAAATTTTCCTGTCACAATGTTAGTAACCGTACTCCTCCAAAACGCCTTGACCGATTTTTATGAAATTTCATATGCATATTCAGTAGGTCTGAGAATCGGCTACTATCTATTTTTCATTACCTCCAAATGCTAATGGTTTTTCATCCCTATAATTTTTTTTTACATTTTTTTATTTTTGATTTTTTTTTGTTCTCCCTTTTCACGGAAGGCAAAACGATCAATGCCCATACAGCCTCATCTTTAGCTTTTTTTTTTATAATGTGGCACTAAAAATACAAACAACCCTAAATTTTCATTCTTCTATATCTAATGTAATGGAGATAAATGTTTATGGAGTCAGTTAAAAGTGGATATTCATCATTATGTTGTGTGTTTCAGTAAAAATAACCAAAATTAAAAACTCCATTTTCAAGTTGCCGCAAAAACGTTTCTCTGGACAATATGGCGTCTTACTAGTGTGTGACGTCACACGACTGTTATTAAAACGTCAAACGATACAATGTAATGTCACTTTAACCGGAAGTTTACTTGCGTGTGACGTCATTTTAGGCTCCGCCAATCCCAAGCGTTTTGGGTCGCGTGACAATAGATACGAAAACTATTATCTTTTTCGTGGGTTTTATGTAAAATTATGAATATATTTTTTGTAAAAATAGTAAAAACCTCTGCCATTATTCATTCTAAACACAGATGCTAACAATTGGCACTTTATTTTTAATACTGTCAAATACCCTATTGCCATTCTTCTGGTAGGTAACTGGTGCGTGGAATCCTACATAAAGAGACGTAAAATATATTCATATCGTATTTTTTTTTTAATTTACATTGACACTTTCAAACCAACACCAATTTTTTTATATATGTTATAGTCAAAGAAAAAGAAATGTTTATTTATGCTGTTTACGTAACAAAATCATCATCAAATCAAATTAAAAAAAAAACAATATTATAGCATAAAACTTAAACCAGTTGCAAGATATAACGTGAGTTTCACTTACAAACATTGAATTTGGTAACGCGCATCGAATCTGGAACCTTTTCAATGGTTAAAGCTTTATCCGCGGCGCGGCAACCGCCATGCCGTCAGAATTATTATTTCGAACCCCGCTAGTGACGTAGTTTGTACGAATTATCAAATCATCGATGTCGATGTTATAAGATAACTAATTTTCCGTTTCATGCATTGGTGTTTTCCACAATTATAATAAGACGTCCTATCCTTAGTGTTATCATGATTTTAAACAGTAAGTAATTGTGTACTCTTAATTCAACTGATTGCAGATACTTTAATCGGCTTGTTTTAATTGGCCACATAAGACAATTAATATTAATTACATATAATAATCATTTTGTTAGTTAAACAAGGGAATGTAAATAAAGTCTTTTATCAAAGTGAAAAATTTAAAAGATCCTCATAAAAATCATAAATCACCTAAAACACTTTTGAGAATGAATAACAATTTTTTGACGGTAATTAAATGAGTAAAATCAAATAGTGTAAAATATTTTTTGTTATTGTAAGGTAGTATGCGGTTCGACTGCGACGTGTGACCGCGAATTTTCAACCACGGGACTTAGGTCACCTGTCGCGGGGCGACACGTAGCTTTCCGATGTTAGCGACCGGGACAACGCCACTATTTCCACAGTTCACGCCATTTCCAAGCAGCGTTTTATAAAATGCAAACACAGTCGAATAAATCATAGATATAAAAACATAGTACTACTACTTGTTTTATTTAATGCCTTGTGCAATTTCTTCCTAAGTATATTCCCTAAAATTGATGTCTTTATAGGATTGGAGCCTTATATCATTATAAATCTACTTTATGCAAGAAAAGTATCAATAGCTCATCATCGTGGGTGAAAACGTAGCCATTTGTTTGATATGCTTCTTGCCTGCGTCGCTCTCTGGCCGCGCCCACTGGTCGCGCGGCCAAATCGCCAGGTTTGATACAAAAGAGTGGGTCGCTAAGAACCGAATGCTAAGACGGATTAGCATTTGTGTTAGAATTAATTACATAGCATTATTTTTTGATGTGTAACATCTTTCCTCTCGCTTTTCTGCAATTTGTGGGAGTGATTTCGTGAAATGGGACAGAAAGTGTGTAACAGGAAGTCACGAAAGCGCGCGCTATTTGATTTGATTTTAGAACATAATTATGAATAATGGCTTATTCATTTTGTAGTAGGTTTTATTTCTTTTTTTACTATTTAACTAATATAAGGTGAGTTTCAAATGTTATACATACATCATACGCGACTACTGTAAGGCTCGCTCGTTTTTTTTTATTGATTCCTGCTCCGTATAGAAACAAATGTCATCCCGGGTATTTTGTAACCCGGCCCGAGGTTCTTAGTGGCATCAAGAAGCGACATGCAGGCTAGCAGTAACAGGATGGCGGTAGTGTGACAGGAATTAAGGTAGCTGATACTTACTATCCTCCCGTCTAGACTACAGCCACTTAATATCATATGTAGGTTGGTATAATTTGCCCAAAAAACAGTGTTCTTTTTCTGTGAATTCGATCCGCAAAATAACATGACACAAAAAAATCAATAATACGAAAAAAGTTTTTAATATCATATCGATATATTATATTGTTTCCTCAGGCAGGTGCCCCAACACTACGTTGCTGATATGACGACGGGCGTGCGAGTGAATAGGGTTGAATGTAAGAAATAATAATTTTCTTTACTTCCGCTCCGTAATTAACTAATATCGATTGTGTAATCGGTGATCGATTTGTAAAACCAATACTTTTGTAACATACCTACAACTTAGTTATGTATTACTGATTAAGCTAAATGTTTAATCTTATAAACTATTGAATACGTAATTTTATACAATTAAAAGTTCTTATTGAGTTTAAAGAAAAATTAAAACTTCAATTGACTCGAGGAAATCATAAAGAGAACACCAATGTGTACGCGGCCTACGAATTGTTTTTGTAATGATTGGTAACAATGAATGACGTCATCGTTCACCGAGCAGAAGAATGTACTTGATTAATTTCCCTATAAACAGGCTCATTTTACTTAAGTAATTCACAAAACAGGTTTAAAACAAAAAAAATGTTAAATACATTTTAAAATAAGAACATTCGAATTAATATTGTTTTGAAATAGGTAGGTATTAACGGAAATAACAATATCGAAACGGTTTAAATTACCTTGAAAGATGGCTTCTCCATGATTTAAAAAAATCCAAATAAGGCAAAGGCAATCCAACACAACGATCACTTCAACTTAACAAAAACACAAATGTCCATAACACTGTTTTCATTAAAATAATACAACATGTTCCTCGTTAAACAATGAAACGAAATGCAATCTTATTTTTAACTTTCAGCGTAGACATTGCACTAATTTTAAACACACCGACTGTTCTGAAACGGTTATTTTTCAACGAGCTATTTCAGGCACACAAAACGCACAGATAACACTAGGTAAAGTAAATTCTCCACACGAAGCGAAGAGAAAAAAAAACAATAACACTTTTTTCGCGCAAAGTCGATGTAATCGCACTCATCAACCACCGGAATAGTCCACTAAAATCTAAATTGTTGTAATCAAACAATTATCTACGCTGATAACGTTTGTAAAACAATAATAATAAGCACGAATTAATTTCCTCACTCTCATTAACGTGGCAGAATGGATTTTTTTTTCCAATTTCATATTCGTTGTATTCCTCTGCTACGGAAGCCGGAAATGTGAAAATTGTAAATAGCTAAGATTTTTATGGTGAAATAATAGGGCACAATAAAACAATATGGCGTACATTTGACAAAAATAAGCAGATACGCGCGCGCGATAAGGAGTCGATGTATACGGCCATAGCCTAGCACGGACGGCCCGTGTCTGTGTATTCCATGTTCACGGTTGCTCCGTATTTTCTTGCCCGCTCACACGCTGAGCTGGCTAGGGTTGTCCTAATTCCTTGAATTATTAATTATGCTAATTAAAAATTTACAAGTTCGTCATTCGACAGTTTGATATAAGAAGTTTTGATATAATCAAACTACATAATAATGTTTAATTAATATCTAGTTTTTTGGTCACTAAAGTGAATATAAGAAAAATTTAGTAAAATAAAATATAAAATAGAAATGCACGGATAAAACTATTATATTTTCCTCCTAAAACATTGACCTATATTTCAATTTATTTATTTATTTGATCACCAACATAATAAACATTGACACAACAATCTAGCAGGTAATGATAAAATACTTAAGCTTAATGTTATTACAATTATAGGTGAAGACCACATGCGTTATGGAAAAGAAGCAACAAATGCTGGTAAACTGTTGATGAAAAAGCCTTTAAAAGCTTTGTAAGATTTAAAAAAAACATATATTCAACAATGTCCCGGTTAAAATCAATGCATTATAAGAAGAGCTATATCGAATAAAGTCAACTTATATATATAGTAAAAAAAAAAGAAAGAATTTAATTAGTCACTATAAATTACAGCACCTACCAAGATTTTTACTTAATTTATAACGTTATAAATATATTAAAGTATTAAATGTTTGAACCAATACAATAAGGCGCCCCACCAATTTTTGTTTGAAGGATATTTAGTAATAAAAAGATAATTATCATATTATTATTTATTATTATCATAGATAATTAGTGTATACCGATAACACTCAAATATTGGCGGAAGCTGGCACACATTTACTGTAAACGGTTTGGAGAAATAGTGGGGCGCGTCTTCGAGGATTGCAATATCTTTACTTAACAGTTTATTGCATTCTAATATTTTATAGAATGGTCTATATAAGCAGATATCTACAAGATATCGCTCATCGAAATCGAATAGGTTAGGTACAGAAAAAAGAAGATCAACTAAGAGGAAGACTTTATATACAGAATATTGTTTTTTTTTTAACATCAATCAATTATGCAAAGTTAACTAAGTTTAATGTTTCATTTATTTTTAACCAACTTCTACAAGGAAGAAGGTTTTTCAATTGGTTGCTTTTTTTTACTTATTAAAAGATTTTTACTGGTTTAAGTGTTATAAGTTATAGCTTAAAATATTCATTGAAATACTTTGAACAAGCACTAGTTTCTGAAACCTATAATAGCTTGACTAACGGTAATAATTAAAAAAGTACTTATCTACTTACTCATTGCCTTTAAAGATGAAAAAATAATGAAAAAAATTACATAAAAGTACAAGCTTTGTAAAAGGCAAACGAAAAAAGGATGATTAAAAAAAATAAACCTTTTAGTCGAACGGTTGCCGGCCCTGCCACGCACACAATCACAAAAACCAACACATCCGCGCGCACCGAACAGATTTTTTTACGTAAATAATCATTGGCATAGTGCAGTCGGCATGACATCCAGTTATACACTTTCAATTTTACTACCACCTTTTAATACTAAACGAAATGCGTGAAAATAGCTTTATTGATGCCTACATAAATATGCTGACCGCAGTATCGCCGAGATATGGCCATCAATCAGTAACCAGTCTTGCTGGCGCAATAGGTAATCGCTTTGTTAATTACTAGCATAAACAAATTTTATAATGGTGTATTTAAATTTTCATTTGGTCACCAATTTTCTTATCTGTGCAATTATGCTCTCCGCCAAAGGTCTTTGTTACCAGGTCATAAAATATAAAAAAAAGCCATGAAATAATGTAGCTAACTTTTGCATCAAACAACCTAGATGTCTGTCTGGCTGGATTTAACTGTTTTTGAGCTATTTTATATTCATACCTTTCCTTTTTAAACTGTTCACGAAAAAAATTAAATATAAATGATTTTTAAACATAGTTTCCTATAGTAGTACAAAGAATCAGAAGTTAAATAGATAGGTACATACCTACTTATCACAAAACTGGGTGACTGTGAACTCGTATGTACGATTTGGTCAGATTTTAGGTTGATTTATTTTTAAGCGCAGCATCACATTTGCACACCAAAAAAGTACCTAACATGACTGTATTGATGTAAATAAAGTGCGTTGAAGATTCCTTAACGTATTGAGTTGTTACGTTTTTATACTACGTTGATTTTATTATAAGAATAATCATGATTGAATTTCATTATAATATGAGTCATTCTGGCTTACGCGACGTTAACATTGTCTGTATTTGTAAATACAGATTATGTGTGTTTTGTATAAACATAGGTATGTACATAACATAGTATGTGATAAAATGCGTTGATTTTATTGTCCAAATACCTACCTCTAACTCTCACCCATATTTAATATGAGCGTGCTTAAATATATAAAAACCAAAAATACGCTACTAATAAAATAAAAAAATATTGTGAATATAATATTACCGTTTTTTGGAAATGTGTACCATCCCTAACTTAAACATGCAAGAAAATCTGCACGCGTTCGAAATTCAAATCTGCTTCGGACAGAGAGGTTACGAAATAAAAAAATGCAAACTACCAATTCCTATTTCAAATTTAAAATTCTTATTCATTTTCTTTCATTTTTTTCTATCGTTATTCTATATTCAAACAATTCACGCAAGTCGATTTACATGTGGTAATTTTTTAGAATAAAATTATGTACTTATAAATATCATTAAGTTAAACTTGCAGTAATTTTGCTAAATCTCAATTTAACTAAACCTTAACTAGATTTTTGTTTTCTTTGTTTATTATTGTATAGGCTTAATCTAGTTTAAGAAAAATTGTGATTTAGCAAAATTGCTGCAAGTGGACCTTAATATTTTATTTATTTAGCCTTGAGAGAAAAAAATAGTTAAATTAATTTGGATTTTGTAAAATGAAAATTCAATAATAAATTAACATTTTTAATTTTACCTGTGCACTATAATAAATAAAACGAGCGAGCCTTACAGTAGTCGCGTATGATGTGTAACATTTGAAACCTCACATTATATTAGTAAAAAAAAAAAAAACGTACTACAAAAGGAATAAGCCATTTGAACATTATGTTCTAAAATCAAATTAAATAGCGCGCGCTTTCGCGACTTCCTGTTACTTACACACTTCCGTCCCGTTTCACGAAATCACTCCCACAAATTGTAGGAAAGCGACAGGAAAGATGTTACACATCAATAAGCGTAAACTTATAAATATATATATATATTTTGTGGGTTGCCTATGATGCAAAGAGATGGCGCTGCCTTGCAGCTTAAGAAAGGTTAGAGAAAATTCGACACGGCCGTCACGGCCGTGGATTGGTCAGTGCATTCGCCCGGATAGCGAAGGGTGCGGGTTCGAATCGCATCTGCTGCCTGGTTCGCGTGGTTTTTTTAGTAAAATTCCTTTAGATAATAAGTATTTAAATATTATTTAACTGCAACTATTATACAACTAAAGGTTAAATTTGATAAATAGTTAAATGACTGACATAAATATTGGAAAATTCCCTACTAAATAATTAACAATCAAACGGTCAATTCGCAAATCCAGGTATGGCAGGTTTTATTATCATTGGCGAATTTGTCGTGTCGAAATACGAGATATATCTTTATCATAAACAATGTAGAAGATAAACGGACGATCTAGATTCGCGGCGAAACAGCAGAGACCGCAAAACAGAGTATGTTCTATAAATGTACATGTTATCTATTCAGTAGCTACTCGTATATAGTGTGTTCAATCAACTAATAAAGATTTTTTTTTATTTTCCTTACACTTTAGACACACATATTCCTCTCAAAATTATAAAATGGCCATAGGAATTTATAATAATAATTTATGTTAGGCAAAACAAAATACCTGGCTCTTTGTTAAGTCTTCAATGATTCCATTCATTTTAAGATTACTCAAAAATTGTCTTATCTTGTGTATTAACACAGAAGTTTGATATACATATTTTTAAGCGCGTTGTTTACAGATGCTTAAGTACTGATTGAGAATTTAATTGAGAACAAAGTTCACACAGTAGGTACTAAGTAATTTCGTTCTAGTCTGAGGAATAAACAAGCCACGTACATGAGGTTAACTTATTTTAGCGGAAAAATATTTCTACTGTCTCATATGACCATAAACAATTTTAATAGTTGTTTAATAGTTGCATAGCAGCGAAAAATAGGCTTAATTAAGTTATTTCACAACACCATAATCTGTACCATCATATAACAAATAATTAAACCTACTGACCCATAAAATAATAAAACAATTAATGACCAAATATTATAATCTTAAATAAAAGTTATATTTTTAATAATTCAAAAGCTTACGAAATCGCTACGTGTGCACCGATTCACGCACACACAGAAAACGTGTTCGTTTTTCAAATAATCCCAAACTCGCACTATGCTTAAATTGAGCCTTACTTAAACGCAATAAAGTCGATTGTTGTCTATTTTGAAAACTTATTATTACTTGCCTACAAACAGTCCATGTTCAATATAACATATGCGCGCACAAGGCGATTTTGATTTTTTTGAATATTCGAATTTAGAATGACACGTAAACTTTTTTAATGTGTTTTTTTTTGTGGAAATGGATGCAACAGACACTTATTCTAAAAGTCCTTATCACCTTTTTTGTCGCTATATAATGTACTTTTATTTTCTGTGATATAATTTCTTAGCTAACATTCACTTTCACCACAAGCTTCAGGGTCACGGAAATGCTATAAATACAGTACTAAAAGAAGTTAGAACTTTTAATACTTTTAGCTCAATGACAAAAATAGTAACATTTTGTTTTTATTTTATTAACAATATTTATAGACACATATAAGTATGACAGTGTTATCTAGATACTTTGACATAAACTCGCGTTTGTTATAATTTCAATAAAAGTCTTATAGTCACAAAACACAGAAAAGAAAATATGTATAATTTAAAATATACTAATACTCAATTGATAACTACATACCTGATAATAATAATGACTTAT